CACTGGCCATACTCTGCAGTTAGACCTGTAGTTTCCCACTCCTCAATAAACACTTTGACACCCCAGGTTTCACAAAGACTTTCTCAACAGAGATAATTCCAGGTCTCCCAAAACCTATACTCTACTGTGACTCCCAACTGTTCACAATGCCCAAATATAACTTGATACCTGGGGGGGGGTCACTTTGCCAATATCCACTTGGTTATCCAAGGCATATCACAACCCAAATCCATCTGTGATACCTCAGAGGTACACAGTCCTCAATTCATGGCTACATATAGAAATCCACTAACAATCATTTTAAAACCTTGGACTCCCATTGTCTAAGTTATACTCTGTCTTCTGGAACTCCCACAGTCGACAAGCCACAGTGACACTGAGGGCTTCCACTTCACATGCACCACTGGTGACACCTTCTGGACTCCCAATATCTACAATTTAGTATGACACATGTATCTAAAGGAATGCATATAGAGGGCCCTGCAGTGTCACAGAGGAGTCTTTGCCCTGTAAACCCTACATGGATTTGCGTTATTAAGGGAATATGAAGCCTAGGAGTAATCCACTAAACAAATTAACTTTTCAATCATAGATCATATACTCTCAAATCCCAGTGTGAAATCCAATGGCTCTTAATACCCATACTCCATTGTTACGCCTGGGTATTCAATGTCCCCACTCCTCTCTGTTACAATCAGTTGTGTCAATGCCCACATTCCATTGTGAAACTCTGGCTTTCCATTGTCCACATTCCAATGTAACAGGCAAGGGCTCCAACAAGGTTTCCCTTACTCACAGTCCAAGATGAAACCCCATGACAATCAATGCTTATGCTCAACTGCTTCTCCCAAAGGTTTCCACTGCCTATGATCTAACATGAATACCAGGGGCTACCATGGACAACACTGCATATTTTCTAATGTGACACCAAATGTCCCCTGGGATGAACTGATAAGTCTAGAGGGATCTCACTATCCTCAGTCCACAGGCAAACATCCCAGGATTGTGGGCATGACACTTATTAGGGATTCCTTTGCCTTTCACTGTCCACTACCTGCATTGATTCCACAAGGTATCCCTCTACCCAAACTGACAACACCAGACTTCTAGAGCCCTCATTCCACTGTAACTTTCCAGAATTCTCATTGCCCACTCCACTGTGACAACCAAGGGCTCTCACTAAACTCTGACACACCTAAAATCCCATACACAAATGTATGAGAACTTACAGGGCCAACACACCTCCTTGAAACCCTATGGCTTTCATTGCCATGTCAAAAACAGAGGTTTTGACTATTTTGACAATACTTTTTATTTGCTTTTAAGTCATATTTGTTAGGTCGCAGAGAGCCCAGGATCGGATACATGCAGACATGTGATGAGACAATGGACTTCCACTGGAATTTCTGGAAGA